GGGGGCCCGCCGGACCGGTGCGCCGGGTGGAGGAGCCAGGGGGAAGGAGCCCCAACTCCTCACAGGGGCCGAGCGAGGCAAAAACCGCAGTCTGAGGACAGGGAGAAGGGCGCGCTTTGTTTCTATAAACTATTCCAGCCTGAACCTCATGAAGGCCACCCACTCCTCTGTGCCAGCAAAGCCCACACTGGCCTTCGTTTGCCAGCCAAACTTCCCCCAGAATACAAGCTTTCGTGCATGTGTTTTTTCTGGCTCAAACACTCCTATTGATAGCTCTCAGATGTTGGTAGGTGTGACATAAGGTGTCTCAGCCCTTGTCCAGAAGAAAAAAGTGACAAGTTTAAATACTACCCGCACAGCATGTAACGACATCCTAACACCACTACCAACAGCGACTCTGCGCTCCGCATTAATGTGCTAAAATACAGCAGTTATTTCTGTTCTCTTTCTATGATCTACAGCTCTTGGGATTTACCAAGGGACACTTCTAATAACAGCCTGTCACCAATTTCAGGTCAGAGCTGCCATGAGATCCCTCTGATTATGGACAGATGGGGCCAACAACTTGGACTAGGCTGCAGCATTGGTTTTGATTTGAGCCTAAATAAAGGCTAAAGCTCATCAGCTGTTCTTACAAGGGTCTGGCTGCAGCTTAGAAGCAGAAAACAAAGATCTTCTGGGCTGTGCCATAACACAAAGCCAAACCCCTTTAGGGAGAATTTGGATGCCAAATACGATTTCAGGCTTTAGATTTGAGCTGGTAGTTATGTACAAAACATTTTCCACCTTCAAAACACTTCACAGATAATTCAAGCAACAATACACAAATGTAACTACTTTTTACATAAAATACAAATTGTGCCAGGGAGACTTCAAAAAATTACACCCTTCCCCAGAGTGGTTTTACTGCTCGAGTTTGCAGCAGAAAGCCCCCTCCAACACTCTTTCCCCTCTTTTTATCACCTTTTCAGGGTTGTGTGTTCCCCATGGTATGCTTTTTGTCCACAGACTCAACCCAGCACTTTTCAGACACAGAGAAAAAACAACTGTAAAAGCTACAAGGTGGTGATTCTGAAAGGTGCTCATTACCTATGCTTAGACAATAAGCAAGCCCCCTTACAGGGCTCTGACAGATATAAAAACTGCACTGAGGACCAAACCTGGTTCCTTTCATTCACATGAGAAGCTCATAACTACACAGTGAAGACAAAAACATGGTGGCATTTGAGAAAGAAAGCGAGCATCTAGCTCGGATTAGATTCTTGTTGAAATATAGAACTGATTTCCAGCTCTTGACTGACTACTATTTTTTTTTTTCCCACTTGGATGTATGATGTGGGATAACAGACGGCACAGAATTAAGTCACTGTCAAGATTTTATGGGCAAAAGGGGAGAAATCCTCTTTGTGAAACCACAGGGACTTCTTTCTGATAACAGCATCTGCCTGCATCTCTCCAGCTTGTAGGAAAAAAAGCATCCACAAATTACACCACCATCAAGTCCAGGACAGGTGCCAAAAGCAACATTTGAACCTTGCTGTGAATTACAGACTAGGGCAACCTGACACTTTTGCTCTTATGTCCAAAGGGAGATGCCATAAAATCAATTCTTTTCATGCAATGCTGCACAGTGGTACTTATGTACACAGCAACTTTAAAGCACACATTACTCCTTTAAAGCATACTCACAAATGATAGTAAGATCATTTAATCTCTCCAGACTGCACCTAGTATTTAACATTTCCTCAGCAGCCTGTTTGGCACTCTTGTATGTTAATACTAGTGTGCTGGTCAGACATGGTGCCTACTCCAATTAAGATTGTCTGCTCTTGGTTAACTTCTGCTGCCTTTACAATTTGTTTTGGAACATCAGCCTGAAAAAACAGTTAACCAGCCACTGAAAGATCACATACTGCACGTCCATACCCATCAATGAGACTGAACATCCAGTTGTTTATGAACTCATTTATTTTGGCAATGCTTTATCAATGCCAGTGGAATTTTCTTAATGAGTTTGTTTCTCATATCCAGAACACTAGAAGGATTACTGGGTGAGCTGGCAAAGAATCAAATCTCTTGACAAGTTAAAGGTGTATAAAGCTGTCTTCCATACCACACTGCTGTGTGGACATGCATCAAGGTCAATATATAGAAGATGGAAATGGAGAAGTTGTTGGAAGTATTACTAGAAGCACTTCCCTGCCTTATGTTAGTGAAGCGGTATGAAAGCTTGACAAATGTCAAAGCCATAAGGTGAGCTGACCTGATGTTCAGCAAGACTATCAATAAAAGTCCAACAGCTGTGCATCAAGCACTTGGATGACTAGCACATACCCAGCTACCAAGCAGAGTATGAAGTGGAGCATGGACAAAAGAACAAGTGTCCAAGGAAGCTTTTTCAAAGATACTTGGCTGAGTGCAACATGATAAGTCAAGGTTTTAGCTACAAATTAGCAACAGTGAAGTAGAAACACAGAGGAAGACCTAGTATTTTGAACAGCAATGCTGTGTCTTTGTGTATTAAAAAGTCAAACCGCATGCAGCAATTGCAAATAGGAAGGTAAATTTTGCCTGAAAAGGTGTTTATTTTATGCAAGCATAGTGACCCCTCCCACCATGCTTATTTTCCTCTTCTCCATTCCCCCATAAAGACCTTTATATACCTTGTACCAAAGAAGCCACACTATGAGCCCTGATCCTTATCTCACTTTCAGTCTCATGGATATATTGACCTCAGGTTAAGATCCTTCTAAGAAAATCAAGGCCCTAAGCTTGTTAAGATACTCTGTGTTGAGAGCAAAGGAAGAGTCTAAAATACTTGCAGTTACCTCTGCCACTAGAAAGCCCATTAGGTTCTAATTTCCCAGGTGATGAAGCCCTAGGTGTATATTCTATTGCTGTATTCTACACTGTAAGTGAATAAAGGCACATCTGACTACACACAAAACTGAATTTTGGTGATAAGGTGGTGGAGAGTCAAGAAATGCTCTAAAGACTGAGGCTTACTAATTCTGCTGCAGGGAGGGTAAAGGTGGTGATGACAACTGCTGCTTCTGGGATGGCAAGTGTGACAGTGATGTCTGGCACAGTACAGTCAAACAACACATGCAGAAACGTGTTCAATATACTGCTCAGTACAGTACTTGTATTTTTCAGAAACACAGTGCAGTGTTAAATTTCACTAAGAACCAATGTAATGAGCAATATAGGTAACTGGTATTACAAGTAACGCCAACTAAAAAAGCATGTAAACAACACGAAATCCAGTTCTAATGAAATAAAGCTTACTTGAAGTTTTCTCTAGTGAAACAAACCTTTTTTGTATGCATGGGACCAGTTCTTCTTGAACAATAATACTTACTTTACTTCACTTGGAGTAGACTGTGGCCAGCGGTCTCAAGTGTTCAAAACTTCAGCTGCAGGGCTAAATACAGGTTTCTAATACACTCTTTGCAGCTATAATCATTCCTGAGGGGAAAAAACAACAGAACAAAACCAGTTTCTGGCATACTCCCTGGTATTGACTGGACAGGCAATATTAAGAAAAAAGAGCTGAAAAGATACAAGTGGTAGATCTGTTAGGCTGACAGATACTGGCAGGTACAGTAGATATGACAGAAATCACACAGAAACAACATTAAAATTTATCTTAATTGTTAAGGAGCTATGAATTCAACATAATCACACCAGTAAAAGATACTGCTTTCAGTGCAATCTACTGCCTGGTAACTTTTCTCTGAGGGAGGCATTAAATGAACAACTTTCTTTCAAGTCATTTTTTTTTATAATAGTAACTTCCTCCTTGTCTTAAAACACACTACAAATATTAATGAATTAAATCCTCTGTTCAGCAGAATCAGGCAATACTTTTTGTAACTCTCTAAGCAGAAATTAAGGATTTGTCCAGAAATCATCCATTTTCAAATCAGAAATAGATCTTCTGTTTTCCAATTTCGTACTTAAACCACAAATACATCCTTCCTTCCTTCTAAGTATTTCACCCTCATTGAGGCTAAGAAAGTTAACCACAAATACCACACTACCCCAAGTCACTAAATCATACTATGATGTGTGTAAAAAACATTTAATTTGTAGTTATGGTATTCATGATCATATTCTGCATTTGTGAAGCTAATGTAACATGTATACTTCTTGCAAAATGGAACAGAAGAAAACAATCCCAGTCCAAATAATCTATGAAACTTATAATGTCCTTAGTTTTCCTCTGGTGCTATACAATTCTGCTTTTCAACCAACTTTATATATAGTATATTTTAAAATAGTATTTATTGAGCAAATATTATTTCCGCCATATGTTAGGTAACAATCTCTGTCAGTCCCATGGTAATAAGAAAACTGTGAGGCATCAAGAAAATCCACCAATTAACTCAGCTAAATCAATCTTGGTACTCCACCTCCCTCTTAGTAAACCTACTTGAAAGGGTAAGAAAGTAATCAAAACCATTAGACATTGTAGTATCAAATTACCTTCTGTACAGATAAACACTGTGCTTTGGAAATACTAATTCAAAAGCTTCCAAATGCTTTTTCTGCACGAGGTCTTCCAAAGTAATTTGCTTTTTCCAGTAAGTTTTTTTCCACACAGACTTGACCCTTCTTTAAAAACGATGAGTGGTATTTGTGTTGAAGTTTCCTGCATTTCCTTGCAGTGTAAAAAATTTA